AGAGAGAGCTTTCGGCAGTGTGACTAGGCTGGTCGTCGACTTAGAACAAAGAGAATTTCGAAGTAAAAGACAAATCTGTTTCTTTTTTTTTTTTTTCCTTTTTTGACAAACACAGTGACTGTCTCCAATCTATTCGTGGGGACTCTGGGAGCTTCATGTGCTCAGAAAACATCGTGCTCAGCCTTCCTTCTGTCATACATAGTTGGAAAGTTGGAAAGTTGGAAAGTATGAAAGCATGCGACAACACGTGTTGCTCCCCACGAATAGATTGGAGCTTTGTTCCCAAAAAAAAAAAAAAAAAAAAAAATCATGAGCACGAGACAGTCAGAGCAGAGCCACCACAGTGGTGGAAATCGGGTCCAACGGAAAGAAAAAATCGCAACTGCCACATTTATTGTTTTTTTTTTTGTTTTTTTTTTTTCCCTCCTTTCACAGAATCTCTCGATCTGTCTATCATCCCTTACGCAGGGACGACGCTATCATTCACTCTATCATTCCAAACCCCACGGCACGGTTCCACTAGGAAAGAGGATTGGATTAACGCCTGCTTCTGGAATGACGCCTGCCTCTGGACGTGTTTGTGGACAGGTGCATATATTAATCGCATTGCCCTGCCTATCTGAATCTCTGCTTAAAACCCAGGCATCCACATCAAGCGTTAAATCCAACCCTCTTGGTTGCGGAACGGTAGCATAGGACATCATGAAATAGTAATTTAAGAATAAAAGAAAAGCAGCAAAGAGAAAATAAAACCACCCTATCAAACCCAAAAACATGATCTCAACATGATCCGTGCAATTTCCACCCAAACCAAAGAGATGATCCGACGTGTAATCCACCAGCACCAGCGGTCATAATCTGATCATCAACCGCTCTCCATGTGCCTAAAATTCAGCCCCACGCGGCAGGTACAGAGAAAGAGGGTATGATGAAGAGATAAAGAGGGCCTAAAACAATAACAGAATGGCTGAAGAAAAGATCACAATCCGAAAATTTAAATTATAGCTAGCCCTGGCTTCCTTTCTGCAGAAAATCTCTCTTTTTCCCTCACACACACGCTCTCTCTCTCTCTCTCTCTCTCTCTCTCTCTCTCTCTCTCTCTCTCTCTCTCTCTCTCTCTC